AAAAAAAAAAAAAAAAAAAAAAAAAAGCAAACAAATTGAAATCAGAATTAACCAAAACCTACCTCCCAGGTCCTTGTGTACGAAATAAATCGTGTCCTGTCTTGTTGGTGAAGTGCTGGGCACAGCTGGGGCGGAGGGACCTCGATAAGTGGGACCTCGTCAGTCTGTCATCAGGACAACACACAAGCCAAGTAAAAGCATGGTGAAGTCGCTGAGCGTGCAGCAGGGCATGTGCACTCAAAAAAAATCCCATTTTACAGGTGGAAAAACAGAGGTGCAGCCACTTACCGGAGACCCCACAGAGCCAGCCTTGCTGGTCCTTTGTTCCCCTGCCCCATCCAGCAGCTTAGAACCAGCAGGGAGTCCTGCTATGAGCAGAGCTGGGAGAGAAGGGGCCCAGTGTCCATTTTTTGTTTTATTTTTGGGGTACCAGGGATCGAACTCGGGACCCCGCACTTGCAAGGCAGGCGTGGTGCCACTGAGCTAAAAGCCCAGCCCCTGAGGGAGTGAGGGAGCCTAGGTCACGGAGGGTCAGTGTCAGATCTCTTTATTTTGGGGTCTGGGGGTGGAGCCGGAGGCCAGCGCTCTGCCACTGAGCCCGGCTGTGACATGTGGATGGCAGCAGGCCTGCTGCTGGGTGGCCGTGTTGATCTGTCACCGTGCAAGAAGCATGTCACAATCCCTGGAGAGTCCCGGCAGCTCTTTGTCTCTGGTTTCGGTTTTGTTTTTTGTTTTTGTTTGTTTTTTGGTACCAGGGATGGAACTCAGGTTCTTGAGCTTGCGAGGCAGGCAGCGGAACAAACCACTGAGCTAAATCCCCGGCCCTCTCTGGTTTGGTTTTATTTCTGGTTTTGGGGGTTGGGTTAGTTCCACCGAACAACCATTATGTGCTTCTCTTTCTGCAAGACGTGGACGTGCGGACAGGCTGAGCGGGAACTATGTAGGGCGCCATCCTGGCCTGGGCATTTCATGGGTGCATTCAAGAAGTTAGGCCAGGCGTGGTGCCACCCGCCTGTAATCCCAACTCTTGGGAGGCTGAGACAGGAGGGTCGCTGTGCATCAAAACCTGGAGAACAACAGAGAAAAGAAATCGGAGCTTCCATCTCCCTTCTCTGGCTTCGCTCAGCTCACCAGGGAGGCTGCTGTCCTCGCCCAGCACTCCAGGGTACCGCCCTGTGACCCAGTTGCCATGAAGTGAACCCTGATGGCTGTTGAGGTCTGGACAGGGTGCTGGGGAGGGAGAAAGGAGGGTGTGCTATTTCCTAACTAACAGCAGCATCTCAGAACTAGGTTGCAGGCATCTCCTGGCTACAAACCTGTCACCTCAAACCTGCCGGCTCCTCCGCCCCACATCCTGGGGAGTGTCACAGAATTTCTCAGATCCGGCCCCTCCTTTTGCTTCCTTGGGGCCCTGTCCCTTATGAGAGCTCACCCCACCTTTCCCAGAATTGCAGCAGCAGCGTCCCCAGCCAGTGGCACTCACAGACACTTCCCCCACCTTGCAGCAAAATGATTTTACAAACCGAACACATCTGTAATGGCCTGATTGGTTACTAAAAGAAAAAAAAATAAATGAAAACAACCTAGAAGTGTGAAAAGCCAGTTTCTCTGGAAAAAAATCCTTGCTGCCCTCCCCAGATTTTTTTTGGAGGTTTGTTGGTTTGCTGGACTGTTTTTGCAGTGCTAAAACCCAATTTTCTGTGCCTGCTTGGGTGACAAGTGCTTGGCCACCACGCTATGCCTCAGCCACATTTCCTTTCGGTTTTGTTTGCAGTGCTAAGGGATCAAACCCAGAGGCACTCAACCATGGAACTACATTCCCAGCCCTTCTTTAAATTTTTAAAATTTAAGACAAGGTTTCATTAACTTGTCTAGGCAGGGCTTCAACTTACCACCCTCCAGCTTTAGTTTCCCTAAGTGCCGGGAGAACAGGCGTGTTCCTGTGATTTTTCTTTTCTTTTTCTTTTCTTTTTCTTTTTTTTTTGTCTTTTGTTATTTTGGTTTGGTTTGGTTTGTGTGCTGGGGACTGATCCAAGGGCCTGAGCACGCTCAGTAAATGTCCCTCCCCAGTTTTGTGTTAGTGGTTTTCTTGGAGCCACCCCGATGTCCAGCCTCGGATGGCCTCCAGCTCACAAGCTTTCTGTTTTAGCCTCCTGAGTGCTGGGGTTGACACCTCCATGTCCAGCTTTTCTCCTGCTTCTCAAAGTCTCCTCCTTACCATCTTCACTGCAGACAGAAGTGCGTTAAGTACACCTTCGCCATCCGGACGGAAATAAAGCACCGCACAGGCTACACCGACCTAAGGCTCAGCGACACCTCTGTCAGGGATGAGCAAGAATGCAATCATGAATTCTGCAGACCTGATGCCCAAGCTCTATTTTACCATCTGCCCCAAAGACCACCAAGACCACATGCTGTCCCTCTTCCTGCTAGACATTCACCAGTGGTCACCCTAGAGACCACAGTTCTCTCTCCTCGCCGCCACAAGGCCCCGTGTGACTCATGCTGCAGCAAAGTCACCTTCTGACCTCCACACTCCACCCTGCTGCTGCTGCCATGGTGCACAGCTCTGCTCTTCTTTGGCATGCTTCGATTGGCCCTCTCTGCCCCAGGGTAATTACACCAGCTTCTCTGCGCTCTCTGCTGCCCTGGCCTCCTCAGGGCTACCGCATCCTCCCCTGCTGTCTTCTTTGTTCCAAATGGGACGCAAGACCATATTCTGTGTGTGTTGATTTATTGCCTGTTTCCTCATTTGAAGACGCAAGTCGCCCGAGGACAGGGATCACTGTCTTCAAGCTCACTACTGAGTCTCCAGCACTGAGATTGGTACCTAGCACACAGGAGGCGCTCAAGAAACACAGGCTGGACAGGGGACCCGTTTCACCCCAGCACACACCGCACTCCACCCCCGTCACCCAGGACGCCCACCTCTCCAGCCTGAGGTTTCAACTGCTCACTGAAGAAGCCGAACGGCCAGCCAGGCGTGGTGGTGTGCGCCTGTTATCCCGGCACCCAGGAGGCCGAGGCAGGGCATCGCCACGAGTTCAGCCTAAACTACAGAGCAGGACCCTGTCTCAAAAATAAATAAGTAAAACCAAAGCCCTAAAGACCATCCGTTTGTTTCCTGCACGTGGCTATTACAACAGACCCATTCCAACGGCAGAAATAGGTGCCCTGGAAAAAATCTGACAACTGGCCACACCCCACCCCTCTCCTGAGACGGGAGAGGCAGTGAAGGGCAAGCGTCAGGCCATAACTAAGACTAGACAGAGTGGTTGGGGCTTGGCATAAGGAAGTGCTGGGAACTGCTGAAAGATGGCAGAAGTGGTGGTTGTAGCCAAAATTGGTTATGTGGCCCAACAAGAAGAGTTGGACATCAAGAAGAATGAGTGATTAATGATCGGGCACGGTGGCTCACGCCTGTCATCCCAGCACTCGGGAGGCTGAGGCAGGAGGATCGCTGTGCGTTCGAGACCCGCCTGGGCTACACAGTGAGTTCCAGGTCAGTCTCAACTACATAGTGAGACCCTGTCTCCAAAAAATAAAATAAATCAAATAAAGAATTAGTGATTATGGCTTCTAGGTGATTCTAAGTCCTGGTGGCGAGTTAGAAATTCCATGAGTAAAACAGGTTTTGTGCCTCCTAACCATGTGGAAAGAAAACCAGTGCTTGAGAAAAAACAAAAAAACAAAACAAAGGGTTACCTTAGGTACTGGAAAAGTGAAAAGAAAATCTAGCGTTCCAGATTCTGCAGTCTCCTGCAGATGACAGTTTTGTGGATCTGGGAGGACATCGTTATGACCTCAACATGCCCGGCTCTGTGAAATTGAACTGCATGGCTGAGAGAGGATGAACTATCAATGATAAAAGGAACAAGAGGGATTGTCACGGAGAAATGCAGTGATCGGTGGTAGTGGGGTAGCTACAGGGGACAAAGTGGATGGTTCCCTGTGTAACCGAAGAAGGCGACAGCCCTTTGGTGGACCATGTCGGTTGCTGTCAGAGAATAAGCAGTTGTCAGTAACCTAAACACTAAGCAAGTGTTGCATGGGGTACAGGCTCTTTTCCCATTTATTCAGTTCATCCAATGAAGAAGAACTTCATTTTGAGAAAGGTGATGGAATAGAGTTGTCATTGAAAAGCCAGAAAGTGACCCGGAGTGGTGGACATGCAGGGAGATCAATGGGATGGTTGGTGCGGTGCCAAGAACTATGTCACCATTACGCAGAATAATCATTTAACTTCCAGTTTCAACCATCACCTCCAAGGTGTGGTTATTATATTAGGCCTTCACTCACTGGAAAGTTTGCTGGCAGTGCTTGGTTATTACGGCAAAGTCACCAGACATCAAGCAGAATTTTTTAAAAAAGAAAATCTGCGCGGGGGGGGGGGTGGCTCAGTGGTTCTGCCGCCGCCTGCCTTGCAAGATCAAGGACCCTTGATTGATCCCTGGTACAAAAAAATATATATATATTATATATGTATGTATAGAAAAGAAAGAAAATCTGACGACTGTTGCCACTGTTAACTTCCTCCAGAAAGATGACCCAATCAAAAAAGGAAAAATAAAAACTTTGCTGTTTAGTGCTCTCCGAGGGTTGGTAATGGGATTGGGACAAAAGCGGGTAAGAGTGCCCACTTTGCAGAGGAGGACAGGAGTCCCGGAGAGAGCCCTCTTCCGGATGACTGCGCCCTGCAGCTGTCCCTAGCTCGCAGAACCGCCCAGGGGTGCACTCCGAGGTCCATGGAGACCTGAGTCTCAAGCCCCGCCCCCTCACGTAGCGTCACGAGCAGGCTCCTCCCCTGCTCTCGCGAGAGCTGGGAAGCAGAAAATGGCGCGGACGTGAGTGCGAGCCCACGTCGCCGAGGAAGTCGCCGCCAACTGATCCGGAGCCACCGGAGCCGCAGGAACAAGAGGTCGAGTGGACTGGAAGATGGTGAGCACGGCGTCCGGGATGCGGGCGCAGCGAAGCAGCGGGGATTGGCAGGGAGCTGCCCTATCTGTGCGCACACCCTCCAGCCGACCCCGCCCCCACACCCGGGCATCCGCCCGCCGTGGGCTGTCAGCGAGTGTCGTATCCTTACTTCCGGGCTGCCCTACGCTGGCCACGCCCACCAGGTTCGGGGTCCGCCCCTAAACCACGCATCCGGGCCCATAGTACCTCCAAGTTGGTCTACACAGCTCGAGCCCGGCGGACATATGCCCATCGTAATGCAGTCCGCTTCTGGCTCCTCTAATATCTACCCGTTGTACCCCAGTCCAGAGCCCCATCGTCCTAGCCTTGGCCCCGCTCTCCGAGCGTTGGACCCGCCCACCCGCCGAGGCCTCGCCCCATCCTCTTGCACCCTTGATTCCCGGTACCAAAAAAAAAAAGAAAAGAAAAAAAATCTGACGACTGCGACGACTGTTACCACTGTTAATTTCCTCCAGAAAGATGACCCAGTCAAAAATGAGAAATAAAAACTTTGCTGTTTAGTGCTTTCCGAGGGTTGGCAATGGGATTAGGGCAAAAGCGGTTAAGAGTGCCCACTTTGCAGACGAGGACAGGAGTCCCTACCCATGTTGGACATGGGGCGATGCTCCCTCGCATGCCTGACTGCCGGCAGATAACCTCCCCTGTGACTCCTTGGAATGCAGGTTAACTGGGTGATGTCTGGGAGCTGAGGATTCAGGAACGCAGACTGGCCCCTTTCTACCTGTTCCACAGGAGGAGGAACCCTCGGAGCCCAGCCCGGACACGCTGGCCCCTGCAGAGCCCAGCTCCAGTGAGACCGACAAGGAGGAGTTGTCTCCGGCTGTGGCTGCTTCGGCTGCCTCCATGGAGGAGGAGTCTGGCCCTGAGCGGGTGGCCACACCCGCGATGTGGGAATCTGGAGGGCCACAGCAGGGTGCCTCCCCAGACAGCTGCCAGCCGGACCCTGGACCCAACCCTGGCCGGCCCAGCGCAGTCTCCGGGACCAGTGAAGACCTGCGGCCTGCCAAACGCCGCCCACAGCCAGGTGACAGAAGCGGGAGTGAGGGGCACAGTGACCCCAGCCCTGGGGCCCTTCTAGACGGATGTCAGTCTCTACTGAGTGCCAGTGCATGCCAGGCTGTGGCTCCAGTGAACAGCCCGGCTAATCTCGCTCCCGGCCGGGGTCAGAGCCTTGTGCAGCGCCGACCGGTGACCCCACCCCATTCTGTGTGTCACGCAGGGACACACATACCCTGCTCCAGCCCTGGCTGCCTCCTCAGTTTCCCCAGTGTTCGCGACCTGGCACAGCACCTGCGTACCCACTGCCCGCCCACCCAGTCCTTGGAAGGTAGGGCCAGGATTGGGGGTAGGGTGGGAGGCGGGTTGAGCCCCCGGGGCCAGCCTCGGCGACCCCACTCCATCGCTGTGTTCTTCACCCCTGCCAGGTAAGCTCTTCCGCTGCTCAGCCCTGAGCTGCACGGAGAGCTTCCCCAGCATGCAGGAGCTTGTGGCCCATGGCAAGCTGCATTACAAGCCCAATCGCTACTTCAAGTGAGCCCCCGGGTCACCCCGACACTGTGTTTGGGGTCCAGACCTTCGTTTTCTAGTCAGGGGGGTTGGGTCAGAGGTGGGTGCGGCCTCGGTAAGTCCCGCCTTTTTTGCGCGAGCGCGGGGTAATAATGGAACCCGGAGCCAGCTGGGGAATCCTAAGGCCGAGCTGGGAGGGGTGCGCCGCAGGTGGTTGCGACACCGCCGAGCCGGGCTGCTGAACTCTGGAAAACCAGACTTCGTTCTGGGGCTTCCCAGGCCTGCCAGCTGGAGGGGAGGGAGATTTGGGTCCAGGCTCCCCACGTTCGCGCGACTGGCCCCCGGGTAGCAATGGCCAGCGCGCCCTCCTC